GACTCCAGGATCACGCCCTGGGCCGAAGGCAGGTGCTAAACCGCTGAGCCACCCAGGGATCCCTAAAGGTCTCTTTTCAAGGCTAGACTACATCATGTGTGCTAACAAAGCTTTCTACTTGCCACAGCTTTTAACCATTCGCCGTCATAGGTGTTTCCAATTCCATTTTGTTCACAATAAATGTCAAGTTTCAGCTCCATTTCTTCAATTCTGAAGGCATTTTTAGGGCATTTCCACAGGCCTAACATAGCCTATAACATAGTGAAACTTGGAATTAACGAGCCTCTGTGTGTTTGACTATGTTGGGCTGTGTGTCTCCCGGTAGTGAATGGGACACCAGTAGCGAGTGACAGAAACCCCCAAACCAACAAACTCAGTAGGATGGAATGTGAAAATGGTGGCCCCCACTAAAAACCTACAGGGGTGGGAGGTGGGTTTCCCTCGTGAGTGTGGGGAGGGGGGTGTGGGATTCTTGTGCCAGAAGTTTGGGGTGCTGGGTAGCCATAGATGTCTCAAATAAAGGCTAGAAAAGATCTACTATCTCCAGACCACGGAGGCTCTTCCCTTACACTTTTGTCGGCATCGTGTAGCCCTGCCCAGACCTCTGTTCCGGGAGGCCCATGCTTGCTCTGTGTACCACCTGGGCCAGGAGCCACCAAGGGGCTGGTGAGGTGGGAATGGGTAAAGAAAATAAAAGGGAAGGGTTGAAACAAGTGTCAGTGGAACACCCCAATTGCTGTTCTCCAACTTTGACATGCAGTTCATAAAACAGAATTCATATTCTTCACAAATATGATAATTAACTTGCTGATATTCATCCAAATTTATTCCAGTCTTGGGGGAAAGTGGCAAATACCTACTAGGCTTCAAATATCTTTTATTGAGGTTTTTTTTTCAGTATTTGTGAATACTTTTTTGTTTCCATCTTTATGAACACCGCCCATGTCATTGGTGATGATAAAATGATGTTGATGGTGGTTTTCTTTTTACATATTCATAGGCACACTTTATATATTAAGGAAAATGCCTACCATAGTAGGAAATGCAAATACTTTCCCAGTTGCTAATGGGCGCTTTATATTTTAACTTTTTATTGGCCTTCAATATATAGAAAAAAGTTTACAAATCTTAGCGTTCAGGTAAGTTTTCACAAAATGAACATACATGTAAAACCAATATGTAGGTTAAGAAATATAACTGTAGAGGAATCTCAAGAGAATTCCTTTTTATTTGCCTTCTTGTCTCTCCTCAGTTTCCAAAGATAACCATTATTCTGTTTTCTAGTATTGTTGAATAGGATAAAAGCTTCAAATTTTTATGGAATTTAAATCAAACAATATGTAATGTTTGTATCTTGTCTCTTATGTTTGTGATATTATATTTGCAATATTGTTTATAATACTATGCTTTTAAATTTCCTCCATGCTAGATGCCTGGGTGGCTCGGTGGTTGAGCACCCACCTTTGGCTCAGGTCATGATCCCGGGATCCTGGGTTTGAGTCCCACATCAGGCTGTCCACAGGGAGTCTCCTTCTTCCTCTGCCTATGTCTCTGCCTTTCTTTCTGTGTCTCATGAATAAATAAATAAAATCCTTTTTTAAAAATTTAAAAAAATAAATTTCCTCCATGCTATTTTGTGTAGCAATTGATCAATCATTATTACTACATAATATTGCCTTATTTAAATTATACCATGTTTATGCATTTTCCCTTTTTTAATTTAAATTCAATTAATCAACCTTAACAACATTTTTCACTCTCGTCCTATTCCCTCCTTCTCCCCAGTCCTAGGAGGTGCCCCCTGAGTGGCAGGAAGCACCTGGAAGCACCTGGCCTAGGTATGGTGGGCTTAGGGGTTTGGTGACAAGGCTGGCTCACCAGAGAGGGAGGGCTGGTGAAGTCACACATACCAAAGGCCCCACAAGGGGAGACACCTTCACAGAGTGGGCGTTGGGGTGAGTTATTACCTGGCTAAAAGAATTGTTTAACTCTTTATTCCAGTGTTATTTTTTTAAGATTTATTTTTTTTTTATTTATTTGAGAGAGAGAGAATGCAAGGAAGGAGTAGAGGGAAAGGGAGGATCTCCAGCAGACTCCCCACTGAGTGCAGAACCCAAAGCAGGGCTCAACGCAGGCCTCAGTCTCACAACCCTGAGATCATGACCTGAGCTGAAACCAAGAGTTGGATGCTTAACCCACTGAGCCATCATCCGTGCCCCTATTCTGGTGGGATTTAAGTTTCCCTTAAATTCAATGTGACAGGACTAAATCTCTGAAGTGGCATCACTGTTGTTTTATAATGAGCTGGGTATGGAGGATGCCTGAGCAAAGAAGTGGTATCAAAGGCTCCAAAGTTGGTCTAGTACATCTGAGACTCTGTCGTTCATTAAAATGACTTGAGCCACCAAGGTTTGTTCTCCCAATCAGAAATTAGCCCCAGACCACCTGGAGAAAACACCAGAAAGCATGTGGCTTTGGCTGCAGGGCTAACATCTTGCAAAGAGACCCTCTACACAGAACCAGCTATCATGTCATGTGTATAAAAATCATCACTGAGCATCCTAGAAGATGGAGGCGATATAATCACTCCAAACTCAGCTAATGCTTATGTTGTCATTCTGCAGAGGACCCAGTCACTTGAGCAAGATGAATGAAAAAAGAAGGTTACCAGCTTCTTTTTTGCTCTCTGACCTGGGCCCATTTCTCATCTGCTCCAGACTGGGGGGAGGGGTGTAGAAAGGGCAAGACTAGAGACAGGTTCATGGACCTAATGGTATTTACCGAGCCTCGGGTGCCTAACTGATGGCTTTGGTGACCAGAGCAGAGGCCTTCTAACAGAATGAGAAATGGCCACTTTTTAAGATTCACCAAAAGAGCATCTTGCAGATATGCTGATATATTAATATCTTAATGGCCTCTTTGCTGTCACAGGGGAACTGGGGAACCCAAAGCCCTCCTGCCTCAGGGACATGCTGAACAGGCGGCTCCTCAAAGTGCAGTCGTGTTGGTACATTGTGCCTCGGTCACTCACAAGCCAGTTAGGGACCTGGAGCACTGAGCAGGCAACCCTGAGAGCATAAAGTGGCTTCCTGGGACACCACATGGCTGGAGGGGTGCTCTTTCCAGAGATCTGAGTCCAAAAATGTAATGGCACAGGAATATCAGGCAGTGGTAGGCATAGCATGTTAAGGACCCTTCCCTATAGAAAGAGCCAAGGACTCATTAGTGTCCTGTCTGCACATGGGGTGCTCTTGTGTGGGCTCAGCAGATGGAACAGTAGTGGGAGCAGCTGAGCCACTGCCAGGGTCTGAGCAGAACCTTCTTCCGTACCCCAAGTGACCGTTCAGTCAGTGCAGGGTGATAACAGTTGCGCATCATGCAGGTCTGGAAGCTTCACTCCCATAGTTTTCAGCATGTCCAGCAGTGGTAGAGAAGGTAAAAGGCAAGCCCAAGAACAGTGACTTTGCTCACTGGCTACATTACTGCTGTAGCAACAACCTTGGCTGGGAAAGAGGTTGAAACTCTTATCTGAAATGAGGTTCCTGCAATATTTATCACTCTCCTTCTCTATTCTAGGCAGGGAGGTTCCAAACTTGGCTCTGTAACTGTTACCTGGAGCACGTGTTTGACATGCAGATCCCTGGACTCCAGCCCTACAGACTCTGATCCAGTAGGCGTGGAATGTGCCCAGGAATCTGTGTTTCTAACGGCTGCTCTTGGGGATCCTGGCACAGGGGATCCAAGGACCAATATTTGGAAGTAACCTCTCTAGCCCACACTGTCTCCATGTCATCAATCATTGCAAACCTGCTGTGCCTCAGACGAGGAGCCCAGGATAACACCCAGCATGTTCTGGGTTCCCAACCCTGACGTACTACCCTGCCTCGGATGCGAGTCTCCAAGCTCTGCCTCCCAGTGAGCTCCACAGCTGTCCTTTCAGCAGACATGCACTGCACACCGATTGCACTCAGTTTATTGGGCACCTACTATAGACAAGGCACAGTACCAGGTGCTGCGGGGTACGAAGACAAGAAGGCTAGTCCTCGTCCCCCAAGGGGCTCACAGTCTAGGGGGAGAGAGACACACTCGCAGGTAACAAAAACACAAGGCAGAGTGGGGTGAGCTCAATAACAGGCAAAACCCATGGGAGGGCTGGGAGCCGGACAAGGTAAACGAGGCTAGGCACATCCGGCACCTGGTAGGGGCAGTGGCACATTGGCCAGTCCCCGGGGGATGGGCAGGATTCCCACAGGTGGGACTAAACAGAGTATATTTCAGGCATGGGGGGGCATAGAGGTGGGAAAGTACACCGAATGTTCCGCCAATGAGGGCAGAATGTCTGCCTTCACTGAAACACAGGTTGCCAATGGGATGATGAAGGGAGCTGGAGCTGGGAATGTGGTCTGCGGCTAGATGGCAGGGGGTGTCCTTATAGTCAGGAGGTATGACTTCGTTCTGTGGACAATGGTGTCCCATGGAAGGTCTCCGAGTAAGGGAAGGACATGATCTAATTTCCTCAATTACAGGCTCGTTGCTGTAATACATGATTAGCTCTGTTTTTGTTGACTTCACTCTGGGGACTTACACCCTCTCTTGTCCTCAGAGCAGCAGCCCTGTGGCCACAGATACTTTCCAGGGCTGCACAAGCCTAGGAACCCTTCAGCTAGGTAAACTCAGAGCTCACTTAACAGCTTTGCACCACCTCCACAGAACAGGAAGTGGGGCCTTCTAGAATCATTTGAAAGTAAGGGGCAGGGCCAGGGAAGGATGTCCATGAACTTTGGTTACCTAAGCATGTCACAGATGAGCTGCAGAGACAATGGGAGTGCAAAAAGAAACCAGGGTACATCACCAAACTAAACCATCTGCCATAATCCACCCCACCCTCCAGCTCACTGGGTGGGGAGCCCTGCAGTCTAACTCACTAGAATCAGAACATGGGGTTTCTAAATGCTCTACACAGAGAAGGTTCTCCACTGACCCCTGCCCTAAGATCCTGCCTAACTATCCAGTGAAGAGGGAGAATGGTGCCCTCCGCCACCCGGGCCACCCCAGCCCGAGAAGGGATGTGAGGCCACCGCTGTCCAGGTAGACACAGCGATGCTAGTCAGCGAGGGCTCCCCCAGAACCTCCACACCCGCTGAAGTGGGTGCCTGGGCAGAGAGGGGCGAAGTCACAGCTGGGCCACCCAGAAGAAATGCTCCCGGGGAGCTGGCGTGCACGTCTGGGCCTGGCCCGGCAGGGCCCCCGCCACTGTTGCTGATGGTCCACAGGCACGGGTAGGGGCTGCAGAGAGAGACACAGAATGCTTGATGATGCTGCCAGAAAGACCTGCGTGCTGCTCTGCACATATGCAGTGCGAGGGGCCCAGGCCTAGGAAGAGGGCGCCTAGCCACAGCTTTGTTTCTAGCTCTGACACAGAAGGGCCCTGTTTTTGTGGAGAAGCCAAGGGAAGTAGTGAAATGTAGTGGGATAAACGTACAATAGCTGTCCTGACCTGAATTTCCATGCTTGGCCCTGCCCCTAGCAAGTTTGATTTGGAACACAGCATCTCATTTCTGGAGGCCTGCCCTGCAGCCTGCGTGGAAGAGCAGGAGAGCAAAAGGAGGGAATCTGGACAGCAAGCCTGCAAGGGAGACCCGTCACTGGCAAGAGAGCTGACATAGCATAGCAACCAGGACACACAAGTGTCAGAAAAGTTGGGTTCGCATCCCAGCTCCCCTGCCTACTGCCTCCATGACCTTTGTCCAATCACACCTCTGAGTCCCAGCTTCCATCTTCAAGACAGAGCGATGATTATGTGCACATTACAGATACTATTATGACAATCGAATAAGAAGATGTGAGCACAGGAGAGCACACGGCACTCACCAAAGTGTGGTTGTTATAAGCAACTCTTCCATTCCTGGTCTCCACCCAATAGCTCTGGTCCCTGGCAGAAAGGCTGGGGGAGCTACACCCCCTCCTTGGACTTCTTTTATTCTAAAGCACTGGTTCGCAAACCTGGCTGCACATTGGAATCACCTAGCAGGTTCCAAAATACAGAGGCCTGGGTGCTACCACCAGAGATCCTGATTCAACCAATCCGGCATGCAGCCCAGGTATCAGGATTTTTACAAGCTTTCCAGTGGATTGTAAGGGGTAGCAATTTTTGCACCTGAACAGAGACAAAAATGCCTGCCGTTGGAACAGGCACAATAAACGCCAATGCTCTAAGCCTTCAGCCATCCCCATGTCCTGACATTTTAGATTCTCTGCATCACCGGATACTACACTGCATGAGACTAGGCTCATTATGTAATGATGGTACCGGGCACATTTCGCTATTCTCTAGCAAAATCTTTATGGAGTCAGTAGTGGGTTAAACACACTACTGGAGGGAACCAGAGGTAGCAATGCCACGCTGGCCTCTGTGCTGCAGTCTGGAGACGACGAACCTCACTGGGCCATAGGAAACCTGCAGAAGCCCAGGCTTTGGGTGTTTGCTGGTTGCTTGTTTGGGTTTTAGCCAGCTCAGCTTGCTGAGATTTGGGGCCTGATCTCCAGAAGAGACGTTTCTATAACATTGCTCAGGGCAGGGCCCCTTCCTGATGCCTCATGGGCCAGTGGGAAAACCATGCAGTTACTTCACTGTGTGACCTTCAGGACGTGTCTAATGCTTCTGAGCTTTCATCTGTCCAAAAGTAAAATAGGAATTTTAATGCCAGCCTGCGGATGTCTTTGAATACTATAAATGACTTCCATAGCGTATCTAGGACAGAATCTGCCACACGATCCTTTAATAGGTTCAAGGACTCACTTTCTCACTTCCTGCCACAACCCAAATCTGTGCTTTTCCCTTAGATAATCCACTCGAGCACTGTCCAACAGATAGAAAACATGAGCCACAACCACAAGGCTAAATTTTCTAGTAGCCATATATTTAAAAAAAAGAAAAGAAAGAAAAAGAAAAAATAAACAACTTATTGTTAATCATATTTTATCCAAAAAAATATTCAAAATATTGTCATTTCAAACATGCATTTGAAGTTGAAAAAAAAAAAGGTTGAGATTCTTATTCTTTGATCCTACTAAGTCTTCAAGCTTGCATGTGTGCCACACTCACAGCACACCTCCACTGGGACCCGCTGCGTTGCAAGGGCTTCAGTGGCCACAGGCGGCCGGTGGCAGCTGCCCGGGGCAGCACAGCGCTAGACGCTCACTGCCACGTCAGCATCAGTGTCAAAACCACCAAGGTCACAGCCGACAGCAACACCAGCAACACCCACGAGCTCGTTCAAATGCAGAATCTCGAGCTCCAATCCAGCCCCGTTCATCAGATTGTGCATTTTAACCTTCCAGGTGATTCTAACACACACTGAAGCGTGAACAGCCTTGCCATAGTCCAAAACACTATGTTCTCCTAAACGTTCTCTAGACCAGCAAATCACAAGACCCACCTTTTCACTTTGAATCCCATTTTGGACCTTCTCAAAATTCTGCCTACCTGTGTTGAATGTAACAGCTGATATTTATGTAGACATTACTGCTCACCAAGCATTTTAATGCATTTTCTCCTTTCAGGTTCACCATAACCTACAGAGTCGCTCCTATTATATTCAATTTAGCGATAAGAAAGGCGGAGCTCAGTGAGGCCAAGAAAACCACCTGAAGGTACGAAGTCAATAAGAGGCAAAACACGGACTAAAGGCCACGCCCATCAAGCTCCAAGGTCCCTTCCTGTCCTCCCTTCCACACCCATTTCTAGAAGCCAGAATGAAACGCTGGTCTCTGGTGTACAAGTTACGCCACAGGCCCTACCTGCTACACTCTGCTCTATTACCTGGGTTGTAGGCCCAAAACAGGTGGCTTATGAGAACACGGACCATTGTCAGTGTCTATTTACACATTTTACCTTCAATTCTCCTACTGTCAGGGTCTATCTGCTACCACCACAGTTTACAATATTTCTGACTGGTTCAAGACAAATGATTCCAGGCCATGATGTCTTTTCCCTTTGAAAAACAGAATACCAAAATCACAAAACAAAGAGCATACAAGTGAGCAGGTGCTTTCTGCTCCCTTCTCCCTGAGATAGAAAAGTCCTTCCTGTTGTTAGCTTCACTTCCTAGTAGCTTAGGAGTCAGGACAATGGCTAAGACCAAGCCACTCTAAGAAAAAAGAACGAATTGAGTCTCCAGTGCTCATCTAAACCCCCAAGACCACCAATGAGGAAGTTGCTGGAGTTGGTCTTACCTAGGCCCTGGATTGATTGGCCCGCTGGTGTGGGGTACAGACAGGATGCTGGTGTGGGGTGTGGAGGACAAGGAAGTCCAGCTGTCAGGTCCGGAGAAAACTTGCAGGTTATTGCTGGAGCTTTCTATCAAATTCACTTTGGGGAAATAACAACAGTTCAGTTGATGAAGCTCAGAGAACATATAAAGATGACCAATGATATTATTTTAGGACAAAATATAGCCATGGTTGGTGCTGCAGAGGCCAGTTAGCAGAAAAGAGGCAGGCTCAGATATACCATGTCAACCATATGCCACACACTGTTCATATTTTAATCTTCACAACCATGAGCCATCCTCTCTGCTTTATAGATGAAGCTCAGAGACGGAGGATGCCTTTTGTGATGCAGATCTGTCTGATTCACTCTATCACATTCACTCCCCTTTAAGAAAGGACCCATGTTAACATCCCCTCAGCACAAGCCGAAGGACCCACCAGTGCCCCAGAGGAAATTTCTGAGGACCAGCACCTTACTCTTCTCAGCAACCCCAAGTACATTTAAACATCTCAAGAACAGTGTCTTCTATGTCTTTGAATCTCCATTTGCATCATTAGTGCATACATAAGAGTAAAGGAAGTGGGGAGAAAGAGGAGAGCAAGGAAGAAGATTCTGGAGTATACACCTGGCTGGCCAAGTCACCCTTCCTCAGGATGTGGCATTTGCAGCCTCTTCAGTCTCAGCTCTGCCTCTTCTACCTCTCCAGCTACCCTCGGTTCCAAATCCACCCCCCAGACTCCCCAGGTCCTCCCCCGCTCATGCCTGTGCTCACACTACTCTTCCCTGGAATGGCCTTTGCCTCTCCTGGGTCCCTTGCCATCCTCCTTCCCTCCTACCCACTCCCACCTCTGGATGCTTCCACTCATCCTGCAAATCTCAACTTCAACATTGATCCCTCTGTGCTACTCTAGTTGCTCTTTTTCCTTTGTTCCCACAGCACCTTGGCTTGTGTGTCTCACAGAATGTTTCTCAAACTTTAGTGTGCATGAGAATCACCTAGGGAGCTTGTTAAAATGTAGACTCTTTCAGAAGGAGAACCCGAGAGTCTACATTTCTAACAAGTTCCCAGGTGATGCTACAACAGGTCTGAGGACCACATGAGCGCTCTCACTACACCGTGTTATAATTCGTTATTTTTATATTCGTGTAGCCCTGAGCTTCTTCAGGGAAGAAACGGTACCTTTGTCCTCCTCCTATCCCCACCATCTAGAAGACGGCCTGGTGCATAGCAGGTGCTCAGAAGCTGTGACCAGGAAAGAACCAGGACACAGAATGAGAATGCTGCCCACTTTGTGATATCATCAAGCTGCATTTTATTCCTTCCTTCCCAAAAGCAGATTTCAAGGTTGCTAGAGTTGGATGTAAAGGGACACACAGCCAGGCAGCTGGTGACCAGGAAAGCCCTCTGTAGGTAGAGCTCAGGGTGGCCCTAAGGGTGGAATCTTAACACTCTCCTCCATCTCCCATGCCATGAATCTTATTTCCTTCTTTCATTTACTGATAATCTCCCCACATGAGAATAGAATCTCTGCAGGGTAAGGTATTTTTCTAATTTGCTCATGGACAGAACCCAGTACACAGATAGCCCTCAATAAATACCTGTCACATGAATAATTGAATGAGAAATCAGCCCTTGGCTTGCCTTCTCCCTTCCTCCCTACAAATCTAACAAGCAGGCAAGGTCTGGGCTTTCCCAAGCCCAAGGGAGGCTACACAGCAGTCAATGAGGAAGAAGCACACAACCACCAGCATCAGCTTAGATAAGCAGACTGTAAAAGTTATTATCAAAGCCAGTTTGCCTGTCTCCAACTGAACCAAACAAAAGTCTGGTTGTAGAGTCACCCAGCTTCCCAGAGATCTTCCTAAAAGCTCTCCAATACTGGGCCCAGTATCCCCTGGATGGAGCCATGTAATACAAGTGGAGAAAAAGGCCAGGTGAAAGCAGTGAGCTGGGTATCCCGGAGCCCCCACAACTTGACTTTGGGACACACAGGCTGAAATGCCGAGTACACTGGTGCCGTGGGAGGGGGCCCTTCACACCCATTAGAAACCAGGATACTGTCTTATGAAATAATTATAAAACACCAATAATGCCATAGTTACATAATCAACTAGTAGTATATAAAACATTAAAATAATAATATACAATACTATTACACATATGAGATGAAAGGGATACCAGCTTCAGATACTTCTTTTTACTACTTGCTGTTGACCATTTCTCTGCACCACCACCCCCGCCCCTCACCCCTACACCCAAGGGTTTAATTAGCAAAATCACACACCTGAGGGAGAATGGTTTCTATGCATGTAGGCCGAAGGGTAGGGAGCCTGCCGGTGCCCTCGGAGGCCAGGATAGGGCTCACAGCCGTGGTGGGTGTGGGGAGCAGACAGAGGCAAGGGGGTAGCATACTGGTAATTGGCATTTCCTGCTGCGCACACTCCATCCGGATTGGAAAAGATCCAGCCTCCCACTGGAATAGACAAAAGGAAGACACAGAGCCTGGACTTCCACACCAGAAGTCAGGTTTCCAGGCACTTCACACACGGTGACCCTGTGTGAATGACACGGAATGTCGGCCCGGGTAGAGACGGAGACCACCCCCACTGTCACTCCCCCTCCACGTTAGCAGATAGGCTGGCCTCTTTGGAGAAGGATGGCAGTTCCTATCAAAGTCTGGAAAGCCTCTTGAGGTCACTTTAAAAGGTGTTTTTCTGAGAGCTGCTCCCTTTCTGGGCTGCTGCAGCTCTGCACTGGAACACATGCAAATGTTTAGGGGAAGAGGCGTGAGAAGAGAAGCCCAGAGCTGGACGATGGCAGAGAACACCTGAGAGAACCACAATTCTCATTAAAGTTTCTCCAACACCCGGGTTAACATTCTGCTCTGACATCACTGGTCTGGGTTTCTGCTGCAGCTTCAGGGGACTTCCTCCCTCATGGGGTCTCCCCTGCCATCCAGACATGGGGAGGCCAGCACCCTCTTAGGGACACCCAGCACTCGCAGAGTACCCAGCAGCATACCTGTGGCTGTCCAGGCAGCCTCCCAGACTCCTCGCCACATGCAAGGCCACAGCCTGCCTGAAGCATCGTGCTGCCAACCAACTCAAAAATAAGTGAACACTAAGAACAGGGCAATCCAGGCCAGACCAACAAGAGTGGAGAGTGGAGATACTCCCAGAATGCACCTGCGACAGTCAGCCTCTGGGACATGAAAACTCGAGTATGAGAGATCCATCACCCCCGTTCCTATCTCCCACCTGAGATCTGGTCCAGCCCCTCAGGAACACCGGTTTTTTTCTGGGAATTCTGGAAAGGGCACACACTTGTCTCGAGTGGAAGAAATAACTTGTTGAGTCTTGAGAGAAGCTTTGGAAAGGGCCATGAGCATTCACAACAGGTGGAGTCTAAGCAGGGTGGAAGATGGCTCCCAGTGCCCCCCAGGTGTGGCCCACCCAGTGTTCACCCAACTCACAGTGAGAATAGGCCACATGCTGGCTCTCAGAGACAGCTTCCGGAATGTCTTTTAGGTGATTCCTGAAAGAGAGGGAAAAGGGCACCATCGCTGTCCAGCATATTACCCAAGTCCAGCCAAAAGTCTACCCCAAATTCTCTTTGGAAAGCAACACATTTCTTAGAATAAGAAAATCAAACACCTCTTATCTCAAATCTCCCCCCTCTTCTTCATCCAGGGTACTTTATCTAATGTGCAATCCCTCTTTGAATTGCAATTTGATGTGACTCTAATTTGCCGTATTTATAGCTATTCCTACTTAGTTTGATCTCAGTGGCTTGCACTTATTGCTCCTGCCTGACGAAATTCAAGCAATAACAACAGCTAGGATTTGCATAGGACCTAGGGCACAAGCACACCTGTGATATGCTAGATCCATCAATAATCCCACAAGGAAAATATTGCTATCCCCACTTTGCAGATTTGAAAAGTGGATCTCAGAGAGGTAAAGTGACTTATATAAGATCAAATAGCCAGGAAATGGCCAAGACAGGAGTTCAACTCAGGACAACCTATTCAAAGTCCTGTTCATCTCACACATCAGATTTTCTTTAGCCCTTTAGTTATCCAAAATTAAATTAAGTCAAATATTAACAGGACAAAGCCCTTTAATAGAAGTCAATAAGGACCATTATTCTTTTATTTTTTTCTAGAATGGAAAGGAAAAACACAAAGATATGGAGTCACTAAAGTGATAGCATTACCATCCACCATCCCAGAAGTCTCTGAAATGATAAGAACAGATATGACACTTGATCTTAGCCAAAAGGCAGAGAAGTGATCCCCAGAAGTCTCTGTGTGGTCTTCTCTCAGACCTGACAGATATGAAGATCTGACCTTTATGAACTACTCATATGAATCACTCACCTCTCCTGGATTACATGCAGTTAAAAAAATTATTGAAACCATGCAACTCAGAGATAATTGGAGGAAGGGCAGAGTGAATTATTAAAAATTTAAATTACTTATTTTTTAATATGCGCTTGTGTTACTTTCAATAATTGGTAGTAAAACAGAGTTGACCAAACATTTGCCAGTTAGAGGTTCTCCTAGAGCTCTGTTACAAGGGACAGATCACAGATTAGAGTTTGTTGAATTTCATTGATTTTGTTGAATATGGAATTGAATGTTAACATACCTAATTCTATCAAAGGTAATGCAAGTTCTTTTCAAGATGAGCATAAATTTCACATTTGCAGAAGTCAGCTCAGAAGATTTTACTGACATTTCTCTACTCACCTTTCCTTGGCATCCAAGAAGGCTTTGGCAAAAGGGTTGTACTTGATTTTGAGAGCTGTTATCTTATGTTTACAAAGACAAGAAGCATTAGTGAAGGTAGAACATGGATGAACAGATAGAAACCTTTGTCTTTGCCTGTGAATTTCTGTAAAATCAGCATAATTCCCCTCTCTCTTTTTCTCCCTCTCCATGTTTCTTTGCTTACTTCTGCACGAAATTACTAGCACGCTCTGACAAAAAGCCTTGTGTTGTGGCCTGTAGTGAAAATGGGAAACGCAGTGTGAAGTGAACAAAGAAAGGCTGAAGCGTTAGAAATATGCAGAGCCCAAAGTGCTAAATCTGGCATTCCTTCTTTTATTTATTCATCAACTTTTTTTTTTAATTATTGAACACCACCCCCCACCTCTCCCACCATGTCACTTACTTTTCTAGTCGCTGGAAACAGTCAGAGTGATGCTGGTGTGAATCCACGTCTCCCAGAGAGCACGGTCCAGCATCACTCCCTAAGTCTTAAGTGATCACTTACTCAGGCCACATTAATACAAACACTGATTATCACCCCCACCCGCTGTCACTCCATCCCGCCGGCCTTCACTGGCTTCATCCTTCTTCAGAGCCACCAGACAGCATATGAGGTCTATCTGCTTATGGCCTCTCCTCCAGGGATGTACGGGCTTGAGGGCAGCACACACATCTGTGATGCCCATCGCACTATTCCTAGCAGGCAATAATAGTCAACAAATATTTGCTGAATAAATAAGCATTGAAAAGGATGTTTATGGGGCACCTGGGTGGCTCAGTCGGTTAAGCATCTGCTTCTGCTCAGGTCATGATCCTGGGGTCCTGGGATTGAGCCCCACATCAGCTAGCTTCTCTGCTCAACGAGGAGCCTGCTTCCCCCTCTCCCTCTGTCTGTGGCTCCCCCTGCTTGTGCTCACTCACTCTTTTTCTGCCAAATAAATTAATAAAATCTTTTAAAAAAGAAAAAAAACATTTATTTCAGCAAGGGCCTAGTACAAGGAAAAAAAGTTAAATAAAAGCACCACTCTTTCTGACCCGGGAACCGGGAAGAAATCAGGAGAAGGAGGAGAGCCAGAGTCTGATGCACATGCCCTGGTCTTTCTCCCTGTCTAAACCTGGAGGAGTCAGGTGCCTAGAGAGACCAGCATCCACCAACGGCCCACTCCCTCTCATGGTGCATCAACATCAACTTGGCAGAAAAGTGTTGGCAGCAGAGGGAGGCTCCGAGGTTGGATTCTCCTGGGCTTGATTCCCATGGGGCATAATCACAGCTAGAATATGACCTCAGACTGGGTAGCCTGCCTGAGGAGCAGCCTTAGCCAGGCTGGTGGTTCAGAGGGGACTGGCTAGCATGTGTCCAGGAAGAGCTCGGGGCACTCACCCAGCGGACAACCAGATGACAAGTTCTGCTGGCTGTGGACTAAGGGAGCAGGCAGCAAGAAGTGGGCAGGGTCATTGCCCTGGAGACCAGAGGTGGCTCAGACACGGTCCCCAACACCCACACACACCCTCTAGAGTTGCAAAAATCACACCCTCCCAACAAAGACCCAAACTCCATCCTAGGGATAGAAGCAGGAGAGGGAGGGCCATCTGGAACACAGTACCACCTGAGGGCCTGTTGAAATGATCAAATATTTAACTTCTGTTCCCACCAGCCTGCTGGAGGGGCTCAGCCAAGAGCCCAGACCCCAGGGCTTCTGTTGGCTTCAATGCAAAGTGTGCCTTCTAGGCTCCCAGAGGGGAAGTACCCATAGACCTTCCTCAAATAAGCAAGAGGCAGTGGAAAGGGCTACCCCACTGTTTAGCTTCATCTCTGCTGAGGTCTCTGAGATCCTTTTCTTGTAGAAAAGAAATGACATTTTCTCTGCACATCTGTGATGCGAGTTCAGTCTACAGCTCAATTGTACCTATAGGCACTAAGGGAGTAGTTTGCAAACCTGAATGCTCATCAGAATCCTTTAGGAAGACTCTAGAAACTACGGATTCTGGGTGCCATCCCTGGAGATTCTGACTCAGTTGGCTGGGTGGGAGCCCAAAATCTTTTAAAGTTTCCAAATAAAGAAATGTAGATGAAAGCAGCAAAAAGGTACCTTTTGGGTTTCTGGTTTTGTTCTGTTTTACCTATCAGATTATCAAAGCTGAAAAAAGGCTGATAATCACCAGTGTCGGAAATGGTACAGGGACTGCAGATGAGTAATGCTCTTTGAAGGAGGCCATTTGGTGATATCTCGGGATTCTAAACCCACAATCTCCTTGACAAGCAATGCCATTTCTAGGTGTCCATCCATGCAAGCAAGCAACAGTGGTTGTGGATGTCTCAGGATATTCTTTACAGCATTACTTATAATAGCAAATAAAACAACTGTAAACCACCAAATGTCCATCAGTGGGGAGCTAAAATATGGTATATCTTCTGCAAGCACTTCAGAAAAAGAGATAGGCTTAAATCTAATTACAGAGAAGATATCCATAATATACAGTTAAATAGAAAAAAAAGAAACTTGCAGACTAATATATATAACATGAGCCAATTTATGTGAGGAAGTCTATATTCTCATACACATTTATATATACATAGAATATGGGGGGGAATATTTTAAGCTATTATTTGTGAGGTCCTTGGGGAATGGGATTCAAAAGGTAGGAGGAAAAGAGATCACTTTTATCTTTTTCCTTTTTATTTTCACTGAACATACTTCTGTACTATTTATTTATTATGTGGGGGTTTCTTTAACAAACGTAATTATTTTACCTTTTTTTAAAGATTTTACTTATTTATTCAAAAGAGACAAAGAGGCAGAGACATAGTCATAGGGAGAAGCAGGCTCCCCATGGGGAACCTGATGTGGGACTCGATCCAGGACCCCAGGATCACGACCTGAGCTAAAGGCAGACACTCAACCACTGAGCCACCCAGGTGCCCCAACACGTATTACTTTAAAAAAAATTTTTTTTAAGTTTAGTCAGAAAGAATCCAACCCTCCCCAGGGCTTCTGATGACCAGCAGGCCTGGGGAGCCCTAGAGTATACAAACAAGACAGACAGCATAACCAACCCAGAGGAGGGCACACGTGGATCAAGCCTCACAGACCTGCTCCCAGCACAGGAGCTCACCCAGCTCGGAGCAGGCCAAGGGCACACTGGGCCCAAAACCAAAGACCCCGGGGCTTCTGTTGGCTTCAGCCAAGCACATTGTGCCTTCTAGGCTCCTGGAGGGAAGCACCCACAGGCCTTCTGCAAACAGGAGAGAGGGAATGGAAAGGGCTACCCAGTATTGAGTTTCATCTCTGCTGAGATCTCTGAGATCCTGGAAAACCCACCTTCCATCCACACTGGGTCCCCATCCTCCCACACTCTTCTGGGGGATGTTTACACACAAGCAGCCACAGACACTTACCTCCTCATTCTGATAGGCAGTCACAGCTATGAACTGGGTTTCGGGGAAGGAGCAGTTCATCACCATTCGGTGGGCACCTCCAACACGCACTATGTGAACCTGGGGTTCATATTTATGCAGGGAATTCAACATTATCTGTTGAAGTGGGAGAAGGAGAGGAGAAGCCATGCAGAGCCTGTGGTAGCAGGGGTGATAACCAGCTGGCGTCTCTGTTAGCCCGGGCCCAGCCCCCGGCCAGGTCAGGGCCACCACGCGGGTCCCTCGATTCCCTGATTCCCTCATCTGAGATCTGAATGCGGGGGTAGTTTTTCAGAAGCTCCCAGAGAGCATAACATCAGAGCTTATGCCAGGGTTGCCAGAAAGTTGTTCTAAAGTGTGTCAGTTCTCTGCCCCAATCTTGCCATCCTTTCTTTTTCCCTCTCCCTATTTCCAGAACAACAATGTGGATTTCAATCCATTAAAACATAGTCCTTTTCCTCACAGGAGGAATCCTAGCATCTCCACATGCTGGCATGGCTGCACCTCGCAAGCCACTGCATCAAGAGTGATAATATCCAACACCTGACACCTGCCCATCACCCAGAGCGGCTCCTTGTGATTCATACAGAGCTTTGTGAAATGGGGGAGGTTTCAGTTTACTTTTCAGTTTCCTATTTTATTTTTTTAAACATTTTTTTAAATTTTTATTTATTTATGATAGTCACAGAGAGAGAGAGAGAGAGAGGCAGAGACACAGGCAGAGGGAGAAGCAGGCTCCATGCAGGGAGCCCGAAGTGGGATTCGATCCCGGGTCTCCAGGATCGCGCCCTGGGCCAAAGGCAGGCGCCAAACCGCTGCGCCACCCAGGGATCCCCCAGTTTCCTATTTTAATAGAGAACTGGGACCTTCGGAACATTGCCCAGATCTGGGCAGCTCACCTCTTCCTCCTCATCCTCCGGGGTGGGGGCCTCCCAGCTGGCTAAGCAGGGGGCTCAGAGGAGGCGAGGTCCGAGGCCCAGGGCCACAGAGGCTGACGACCCAGAGAGCAGGGAGCCTCGGCTCTGTCCCCAAAGCGGCTACATCCTATAAATCATGACCTTACACAGGATGCTAGTATTCACAAGCCTCCCGGAGAAAATAAAAGAGGAGAAAGCCCCGAATTCTTGTTTACTCTAATCGGAGACCTTAAGTAAAACCTTCCTTATTTAAGGCTTGTTTGTTTTTCTGAAAACCCAAAGCCGCTTCAGTATTCTATTGACAATTATCATAATGCCCAAGTGGAGGCAGCAATTATTTCATTTAGGAGCAGCTTTTTATCAAGGTCTTTGTCTATTGCCAACATGCCACTTACACCAAAAAAGAGGAGAGAGCACAACAAAACCCCAGTACCCACCAACATCTCCTCCCCGCACTGGGTAAAAAGCACCACACACAAGACGGAACTATGAAAGGGCCCTGGATGATTAAGTCAACTCCTGCACTCTCTCACTCTCTCTTCACATCAGGAAGTCCATTAAAAACTGAAAGTACCAATTAAGAGCTGTTTATTCCCGTTCACATTTGGACTCCGGGGAATAATTGGCTTCCGTGGGAGAAGAGGCCGGTGAGGACCCCTCTAATTGCCTAAATGCACCCTTGATATTTCTTGATTGGTGCAGTGCTGCGGCCCGGCGGCCAGATCCTACCTGCCCACCTCCGTTGAGCTTGTTGGTCAGCTTCACTTTGCTGAAGGAGATGGGGGCTTTCATCCAGTGGGCCCCGAAGTTGGGGGAGTCCGGGTGGATGTAGACGCAGCTGTGGCTGGAGACCTCTGGCTTGCCTGCGGGAACCCACTCCCCGTTGACGTACTTCCAGCGGTGACTGTCCGTAGGCACAAAGTCCAGCAGGAGGGAGTACATGGCGTTGGGGTCCAGCCCCGAGACACTAATCTTCAGGACTGGGAACATCCGTCTAAAAGCAAAGGCAGGGCATCCCTGGGTGGCTCAGCAGTTTAGCGCCTGCCTTCGGCCCAGGGCCTGATCCTGGAGTCCTGGGATCGAGTCCCACATCAGGCTCCCTGCATGGAGCCTGCTTCTCCCTCTGCCTGTGTCTCTGCCTCTCTCTCTCTCTGTCTCTCTCTCTCTGTGTCTCTCATGAATAAACGAATAAAATCTTTAATAATAAATAGTAAGTAAACGCAAAGGCAGACACAGAGTCACAGGAGGGACGCTGGCCTGTTGGGGGCACCCGGGGCCTAGTGCAGCCATCTCTCTGTTCTGGGGACAGCTTCCGTGGAGGGCCTGGGGCCCCAGCCCTGATTCCCACAGAGCCTCTCTTTACAAATGCATTTTGCACCACACTTTTACTTTAAATCACGTGCCCAAGTTTAAAGTCTGAAAACCACTGATCTAGTCATTTGACAGAGGAACCCAGAACCCAAAGTATATCATCAGACGCCACATTCAGGGAGAGCTTTCTTCAGAGACTCCCTCCTGGCATACATGGGTTTTTACGCTGCTGCCACAAACCAGTCCTTCCCCCTCTCACAGAGAACACCACTTCTGGATGACAGTAAGGGTATTAGCAGTGAAAATGTGGTTTCATGGTTCTACAGAGTTAGACCAGTTCCTTCCCTGCATGACTTCTCAGAGCCTTTAATATACTCATGTACTCTATAAACCTCTGAAAAGGGGCACCTGGGTGGCTCAGTGGTTGAGCATCTGCCTTCGGCTTAGGTCATGATCCCGGGGTCCTAGGATTGAGTCTCACATTGGGCTCCCTGCGTGGAGCCTGCTTCTCCCTCTGCCTGTGTCTCTACCTCTCTCTGTGTGTCTTTCATGAATAAACAAATAATATATATTAAAAAAAACTCTGAGAAGATAGACACTGTGTGCACACTGAATTTACAGGACTGTGGAAGCATCCTTTCACTGAGCATTTTGTGGGAATTTGTGCTCAAGACACATCGATCTGGATTCCTTGGTCCTTCTTCTATCCTCTAGGACAGGACCAGCAAGTTTGCTCTCACCTATTTGGAGAGGCTCCTCACCTGGCTTCTCATTCCCTTTGGTTGTTTTTCCTTTACCAAATGTACTAAATTGCTCCAAACCACCCTTAAAAGACCTCGTTTCCAGACTTGCCCCACAGTCTGATCACCACAGCTTGATTACCCCAGATACTGTTTTGTCATTGCCTCTTTTAAAATCAGAATCCCCAAACTAAGAAGCTAACAACCTAGAGTCTAGACACTTGCTACTCAAAGTGGTCCCCCAACTGGCAGCATTGGGATCAGCTGGAAGTCCGTTAGAATTGCAGAACCTCAGACCTCACTCTCAACCTACATATTCAGCAGCTGTGCTTTTCCCAAATCTCCAGGTGAATCAAAGGAACATTAAAGCTTAAGATGTACTGGTATAGAGCATCTTGCACTTTTCAGAAAATAACTAAGATTTGCAAGGGAGTGAGGGTCAGAGGACTGTGCTCCTGATGAGGCTGGGAGAATGGGGGGGGGGGGGGGTGGAGGTGAAGGGAGCTGAAGGGGAGGCTAGGATGGATGGGCTGCCTGCTGAGAGGAGGGGTCAGAGGATGCCAGGAGTGGGGTGTTGAGGGCAGGGAGGGGCACACATAAGAGTCACCAGGGACATCCAACTGTGGCCAGAGGTTCCCAGTGTTGAGAGGAATTGATACGGAATTGATACGAATGGAAAATGAAGGAATTGACAGGCAGATGACAAGGGATGGACCTAGAGCTGGGGGTTCCAGCCATGTGGGGCTCCCAGTCTCCTGAGCTGAAACCACGTGGGCTTCCTGAGCAATCTGGAATAGATGGGAATTGTTTTCCCGGGGCTCACCCCACCTCACTGATATTCCCTTTCCTGGCTCCTCTTCCAACCTAGTCCTCTGGCTGAGGATGCTGGTGGGGCTCTGTTTTTGTGCGCTGCCTTAGAGACCACTTCCCAACTGCTTGCACAGGATACAGAGCCTGGTCCACGTCTCTGGTCCACACCCCTGGCCTCCAAGAGGCCAAACAGAAGAGTGCCTTTGAGGGAAGCTTCTGGCTCTGACTCCTGCCCTTCCTGAGACTGCTCTCCAAACTTCAATTTCATGGTCTGGCTCACCCAGCCTCACTGAGTTGTGGCAAGAACTCCAGGAGGAAATTCATCCACGTGCGTGTTCTAACCCTGCCACCTAGTAAGTGCTCTGCAAGTGTTCACTATTGTCATTACACCCAGCGCCTCAGCTGGCCCAGCTGGCTTCTGCTCCAGAATCCCAACTTGGGGCAGTGACTCCGGAAGTTGGAAACACAAAGGGCATCAGCTTCGCCTCCCTCCCACCTGGCCGACAGATACCACCACCCCCACTTCCCTCTCTGGAGAAAAGTCTAAGCAGAAAGGGGAGTGACTGCTAATGGCTTTGGGTTTTTTCTTAGGGATGATGAAAATGTTCTGAAATTAGATAGTGATGGTTGTACAACTTTGTGACTATTCTCAAAGCTACTGAATTATATACTAACGAAGGGTGAATTTGATGGCATATGAATTATTTTTCAAAAACAGAGCAAATTGATAACTTACACCTCCTCAGCTCTTATTCTCCAGCTGGATCACAGTCATTTCCAAGGAGACCCTGCCGTTGGGACTATGCACGGGGAAATGCTGAAGGCTCCCTCCCCTCCCTCAGTTCCCTTCAGAGCTGTCTCTCCCCTCCCTCTGTCTTGGAGGACTGGAAGAGAGAAAATCTAAATAGGAGGTTATGACAAGTATCTGCATTAAATGAAACTCATAGGGGAAAACCTGTGTCAGATGATGCAGCTCATGTCCAGGTCCTACCTGAGTGCTGCATTACTCACCTCATCACTCCTCTCCCTTAAAGACATGATGGTTCTTTCATGTGAAGGAAAATGATGGTCCTCCCCTGGGGAGCTACCTGTGGCATCAAAATTCTTCCACTTGCATATTCTTCCACTTTTTCTTCAAAAGAAGGATTTCATCCATTCTTTTCATATCAGATGAAACTATTCCCTTCCACAACATATTTTAACTTTTTCAATTATTTTAATAATATTGGCCAAGTATAGAAAGCAGAAGGCCCCCTGAAAGCACAAATGCCATTTGCAAAGAATCACAAAAGTGGACATCAGAAATGATCCTAGGAGGTCACACACTGGGTCATTGTGACAGCCAGAGGGCCAGCTTGTTTCTATGACGTATATGAGAGATGGTCTGATTTCTGGTCCATTGCTTTTTCTGAAATGCTAAAGTTGTTTGGTTTTGGGGTTTGTTTGTTTTTTAAGAAAACACAGGAATGAAATGTGTAATTGTCATTTCACATATAAAATTAAAAAGTACTGAAATTTTTCTCAATAAGGATATGTAGTATATGCAAAAGTAAAAAAAGAATATGAAAAGAAAGTTCATATAACATATCTCCCCCATACATTAAACTGCCAGAGTAAGAACACAGCTCCTCATGCATGTGGCATGGCTGTTATCTTCATGGTGTGAAATGTTTGGAGGTTTCACATAACCTTAAGACTGAAAAGATGATTTAATGAAAGGTAGTTTTTCAAATGGCAATAGCTAAATATTGAATTTCAGTCTGCTCCCAGGACTAAACATATATACACTCACTTGAATCTTTGGCCCAAGGAAGTAAATGTTTCTATGCCCATTTTACCAGATGAGGTACCTGGGGTTTACGAAGTATGAGTCCATTCTCCTCTGGCTGCCCCACTGCCTTCTCTTTTATTACATTCACCACATCTTTTCTCTCTCTCTTTTAAATTGAAGTATAGTTGACACACAACATTACATTAGTTTCAGGTGTACAACATAGTTTCTCTTTTTGATTTTTCTAGAAAGTAAATATGGGTCACAAGGAAAGGAAAAATCCCCTCAATGCTTTCCTAAATCTTAATACCTAATTAGATTTATTTGCTCCTTAAAAGAATGATTTTTGAGTGCCTGCTCTATGGCAGGAACTGTCCTAGGTAGGGGTTCACAGGTGAAAAAAAAATACAGACCCAGCGTCTTGTTCATGAAGCTTACATTCTAACACAGGAGTCAGGCAACAAAAATATAAACAGGTTTCTTTTTAAATGTAGGAGATAATTTTAAACTGCAAGAGTGCTATGAAGGAACAAAAGTGGGTGATGTCACCTAGGGAAATTAAAAGTAAGAAACTACTCTAGATGGATCTTAGTAGGTCTAGGGGGACATTAAATTAGAACCCAAATAAGGAAAAGAAATGAGTCCTACAAATGCCAGAAATGACTACTAGAAAAGCAACTACACACAAAAGGAATAGCAAGTACAATGGCCCTGGGGTACAAATAAGCCTGGACTATTGAGGACTGCTGAAGAAAGAGAAGACCAGTGTGACTAAGGTAAAATTAGGAGGAGTAAAATCTCATTTTCATTTCTGCTTTTTCCTAATTGGACCATGCCAGGTCTTATAAACAACGTAGCATGACCTTTAATTCCAGAATAAGGGGATGTGTAATGGCTTTTCTCTTTTCATGCTATATTCAGGAACTACACCTGATGTTCTAAACAACCTAGGATCACATGGAAGAATTCTTTTTTTATTATTTTTTTATTATTATTATTATTTTATTTATGATAGGCACACAGTGAGAGAGAGAGAGGCAGAGACACAGGCAGAGGGAGAAGCAGGCTCCATGCACCGGGAGCCCGACGTGGGACTCGATCCCGGGTCTCCAGGATCGCGCCCTGGGCCAAAGGCAGGCGCCAAACCGCTGCGCCACCCAGGGATCCCCCACATGGAAGAATTCTCAACATCATCAGCTATCAGAGAAATGCAAATCAAAAGTGCAGTGAGGAATCATTTCACATTCACTAGAATGGCTGTGATAAAAAAAAAAAGTGGATAACAGTAAGCAGTGACCAATTCCCACATTGCTGGTGGGAATGCAAAATGGTGGAACCACTTTGGAAAACAGTCTGGTTGTT